TGAGAAAATGATTTCTGAACCCATTCCAACAAATGTAAAACTGCCTGAGGGCAGCTGCCACAGTGAATCAGCAGGAGAGAACAGAGGAGAATACAGGATGGCATTCATTACTTTCATTTGTGAGGAATCTGCCAGAATATTGAGATGTAAACTAAACACTTCAATCAAACCCATCAATTGCATGACTTGTCTCCGTGTTTCTGGTCATAAATTCCACATTCATCCAGCCCACTGCTAGAAGCTCTCAGCAAAAAAGAAAGCAGAAGAGAAATCCATTTACACTGGATCTTGGCACTGTGAATCTTCCCAATGTGCCGCATCTATGAATATAGTTCCCACCTCATATAATACAAAGGTAGCTAGATGGAGAAACCCATTAGAACGAAAAATAGAAATGGGGCATGATTTTACGGATAGCAAAGTTTCTAACCCCCCATTAACTCTGAGTGATAGAATATATCTTTTGTTTTGAAAATTTGCTTACAGAATATATGCATCACTGGCTAGGCCTTCTTTTGTTGCCCAGAGGGCAGTCGAGAGTCATATTGGGTCTGGAGTCACATGTAGGTCGGAGCAGGTAAGGATGGCAGATTTCCTTCCCTAAAAGGATATTCATGACCCAGGTGGGTTTTTACAACAATCAGCAGTGGTTACATTGTCACTTGGCCAGATCTTCCAGATTCCAGATTTTGTTTTAAACTGACTTCAAATTTCATCATCTGCCATGACAGAATTCAAACCCATGCCCCTAGAAGGTTGGCCTGGCTTCAGAATTCCAGTCCAGTGATATTACCACCCTGTCAATATCAGCTACCTTGTAGCCATTTAATCTTTAGCATGCCATCAATTGCCTACGTGCAAGACTTCAATCCCATCGGGGAGCGACTTCCACCTTAGTGAGGTACCACCAGTTCTGTATTCCAAACAGCACCAGGTTTGAGCAGTGGCTACTGTTGGGTCTATAGCCAAGCCCAAAGAAGAGAGGGTAAGGGAGGCCAGACTGAAAACAAATCCAGTTTTCAACCAATTTAATTCACTTCACGTGAAATCCAATGTTAAAGGCACTGCACGGCTCTGGGCCCTGACAACATTTCAACAATAGTACTGAAGACTTGCGCACTAGAACTATCCACGCCCCTAGCAAAGCTGTTCCAATACAGCTATAACATTGGCAATCTGAAAATGTGGAATGTTACACAGGTTACTCTTAGACAGAATAAATGGGACCAATCCAATCTGGTCATTACTACCCGGTCAGTTTACTCTCAAGTGATAATCAACAGTGGTATCAAGCAACACGTGTAAAAGAATAAGTTGCTCGCTGTTCAGTTGGGTTCCAGTAGGGCCACTGAACTCGTTATCACTTTACAGCCTTATTCCAAATTTTTAGCCATAGTAAAACTGGAATTAATGAGAATCAGGGGAACAATCCCCACTGGCTAGAGTCATATCTAGCACAAAGCCACATGATTGTGCTTGTTGGAGATCAATCACTTCAGCCACAGGACATCTCTGCAGAAGTTCCTTGGGGTTGGCCCTAAGCCAACCTCTCCATCATAAAAATCAGAGTGAGGATGTTCATCGATGATTGCACCATGCTCAGCACCATTTATGGCACCTCAGATAAAAGTAGCAATCTGTGTTCATTTGCAACAAGTCCTGGACAACATGCACGCTTGGGTTGATAAGTGGCAAGTAACATTTGTACAATACGTGGCAGGCAGTGACCATCTCCAACAAAGAGAGGAATCTAACCATTGTCTCTTACATTCAATAGCATTACCATCACTGAATTCCCTACTACAAACATCTTGGAGGTTACCATTAACCAGAAACTGAACTGGATGAGATATTTTAATACCATAATTTGGTCTTTATCTGAATCTAATCCCATTGTGCTGGGTCTGACTCTTAACTGCCCTCAAAACACAATGAGGGATGCGGAACAAATACTGACACTGTCAGTAATGCCAGCATCCGTGCAAGAGGAAATAAAATAAATAAAACCTGTTAATGGGGAACCATATATTTCTGTCCTTTCTCGCACTGAAAAATGATAGACCCTTCACCCAAAAAACAAAATTAAATGGTACAATCCATTGTCAAGATTCTGTAATTGATTAAAACAAAAAAACCATTTTTCAAATCAGCAGTTCCACTTTTGTGTTTGAAATATGCAGATTATCCCAGCTGGAATACAAAACCCGTGACTTCAATTTCACTGATTGTATGCCTGAAGACATGCAAAATGCAAAGGAAAATATGCGCAGACAGTTATCACATTAATTTTGTTCTGAAGCGGTTGAAGTGGTTTCATAAAGCAGTCATCTTTCTGGATTCCCATTTTAATTGCTATTGTAGCTTAATTGTATGTTCCAAATGATGATAAAAAAAGTGTAACTTGTTCCCATGAGGGGAAACATCCTTTCAGCATTTACCCTCTCAAGCCCCTTAAATGCTTCTCACTATCGAGTTTCTTTCTGTTGCACTCATGAGTGCATTTTCACAGGCAATTTGGGGAGTTTTAGGTGCAGATCTGCCCCCTGCCCTACCCTCTATATTTTGAACATTGTTCACAGGGCAAGGAAAATGTCAATCACCTTAGTTTTGAACTAGAATCATGTTTTGGTCAAACCCAGGAAGGACAGTGGCTTCCTTAAAGATACACCGCAATTTTTGAAAATTATTTGGAATTAATCAAGCAATCATAAAAAGAAGTAAGCCATTTGACTGGAATGCATTAATGAGGTCCACAGCAATGTGAATACTTTGATATATCATTGTGAATTTTACAACAGATCTCCATGAAGCTTTGCCCTGGTCACCATATAAGACCCAGAATTTATATTAAAACACAACCAGCTTCACAAACAATAAACAGTGAAAAACAGATTAAACAAGCTCCCAATTTTGATATACTGGCTGAAGAAAACCACAAATTGTCATAGTATTTTCCGAAGTTCACAGAAGGAAGTTCACAGAATCCCTACAGTGTGACAGCAGGCCATTTGACCCATCAAGTCCGCATCAAACTTCCAAAGAGCATCTCACCCAGACCCAACCCCCTAGCCTATCCCTGTAACCCTGCATTTCCCATGGCTAATCCACCTAACCTGCACATACCTAGACACTCTGGGCAATTTATCGTGGCCAATCTACTTAACCTGCACATCATTGGACAGTGGAGGAAACTAGAGCACCTGGAAGAAACCCACGCACAGAACGTGCAAACTCCACACAGTCATCCAAGAGTGGAATCAAACCTGGGTCCAAGTGCTAACTACCGAGCCACCCACTTTGTTAGTGACAAAGTTATCACATGTTTTTGCCAGGGTAGTACACGAATGAGCAGCTCATTTTTAGCACTAAATAAACCAAAGATTGAAAACTAACTTTCAATTTGCACTTTCAGTAGTTGTTCCTAGTGCCTATGAATTATAAAACTTTTTCAAATAAATTCTGTTATAAATATCAATAAACCCCACCCAGCACTGAAATCAACATTTGTGTTGAATAACACATTTCATTTAGTAGGACAAATTAATGGGTAGGAAAAGACAAAGGGAAGGAAAATTGGACTTTACGTTACAGTAAAGGTAACTAATTGTGTCAATATGTCTAAATAGCAAATCGATCTGAAGAGTCAACTTAGCAATCAAGTTTGACAGTGCAATATAAATCATTATATTTAATTTCCAGTTGCTTTTTCTCATCATTTTTGTTTCAGAAGGAACTATTTTTAAAGACAAAGGAAACCCTTATCTGAACAGCAGTGTAGGTCTTATGACTGGTTTCAGTTGAATTTTGCAAACCACACATTGTTCCCCAATCACTCCTCAGTTTTCAGGAGCCACATCTGGAATTAGCACCCAACCATGCCCACGTATTTCAAATCAGACTAGTTTCAAATCTCATTAGTGTCTTTGAAAACTACCATAAATTGGTCAATGCACCATATTTCATGTTACTATCACTTTCTTTCAAAGCTTTTCTTTTTAAATAATCAATATCTGTTCTCTTTAGCACCTCTCTCCACTTCGCCCAAAGTCAGGATATATATTTCCCCTATCCTATCTTTGGCCATCTGTGTGGTCGACCCTATCAACTTAGAAAGATTTATGCACAGATTTTAATTCTTCCTCATACAGTCTGCAACTTGCAAAAGCATGCTAAGGTTTAACTTTAGCAATGGTGAATTGCAAAAGACAACACCAGAGGAAACCGAAGTCCTGCTTTGGGCATGACTGGCAAATTAAGCTCAAAATACTGCTAGTTAGGTTACAGTTCAGCTTTTTACAAAAATTCAGTTGCATAATTGATAATGTAAAATCTTCCAAGAAAACACAATAAAGCAGCTTAACAAAATACCACTGTTTTTGTTTAAGGGTGGTGACTTGGTAAGGTTTTATTAACAGAATTGAAAATGCCTGCAACACCTAAATTCTGATATGGGAACCCAACATCCATCTAGGAGTAATCCAATTTAAAAATAACGAAAAAAAGTAATCATTTAATAGTTTCATTAGTTTACACTAGAAAGATCATTCATAAATGTTTTTGATGTAAAGGAACCTAAAAACATTGTGCACCAGTGCAGTGGAATCTCATATCATTCAGGTGGTGTCTGGGGCCGGGAGGGTGCGGGGCACATGACTACTACTTTTGTTGGTGAGACCAATTCATACCTCAATCCTTTGCACTGGTTTGAATGACTCCTCCAAGATTACATTGATGTTACCGCCGAGTGGAAGCATCCTACACTGTTGAAGTATTTTAACAGTGACAACACCTTTGTACTGAAATTGAGTTTTTAAAATAGGAAAGTATCCCAAAGCGCCATCAAGGAGCCACTGAGCCAAAGAAATAGATCAAAGTGGTGGACGGCAGAGAGATTTTTAAAATAAATGGTGGAGGGTCAACATTACAATATGGTCACAACAGCTCCCAAAAAGACTAGCTTCTACAAACACGGATACTGTATAGACAAAAGTTGCCATTACCTCAGCTGCTTTAAGAACTCCACATCACAGCTGCTGTTGATAAGCTTGATGAACTCCTCATATGAAGGGGCATAAGTGTAGGCTTTCTTGTGACGCTCATTCACTTGTTCCCTATGTTCCATCTGGGTTAGCAGCATTCGATTAATGTAGTCTGGATCACTCAGCAATTCCACCATTGGTTTTAGGACTGTCAAAACAGATGAAGGTCAAGAGTTTAGAACTAAATTGAGAACACTGACCCAAGTTGACTATTGTCAGAAACACATTATGAACTAACACCAAACTTTACAAGAAAATGTGTTTCTTTATCAGGTTCTGTCTCAGAATAGTGTGAATCCACAAGTATTGACAACTTTCCAGGGAGCAATGTTTACTCAGAGGGAGAGTACGCACTAGATGTTGTAGGCTTTGGGCGAGATATTCCCAGGCCTGTAGAGGCAGAAGGAGAGACAAATTCCAGTAAATGTGTATCAGGCTGGTTTGTTGGTCTCACCTCAGATTATTACCCAAGGGGTGGTTTGACAACTCAGACAAGACGCAAATAAAAGGTCAAATGACTCATTATTGGCACCTTGCATACCTCATCCCAGCAACTAAGAGAAGACAACTTCACAGCATGGATATAAACAAAAAGAACTACAGATGCTATAAATCAGAAACCAAAATAGAAGTTGCTGGAACAGTTCAGCAGGTCTGGTGACATCTGTGAAGAGAAATCAGAGTTAACGTTTCAAGTCAGGTGACCCTTCCTCAGAACAGTGACAAGTTCTGGTGGTTACCAGCAGAAAGTGCCATTGCTTCTGCATTCCTATGTCACAAGCTTACTATTGATTCAGGACTTCCTGGAAACAAGCCATCTAATTGTCAGGACAGTCACTCCCAATGATATCAATGGTGCCTCCATTACTGCCCTACCGCTTGGCCCTCAACAGCACACTCTCTGGTCATAGAGTGAAGCCCATCAAATCCCCTTATGGTGGGCCACACCAGATTCTTTCAGAACTGTCTACCAGTTTCTAATCAGCTGCGTCCTGTAAAATTAAGCCAGCGATGATATTGGCTCGGAAACTGGACCCACACCTCTTATACTTTCAAAGTTGGAAAGGTTCAGCCTGATGTAGACATGACTGTTTGGGGATAGAGAATCTGACAGAAAGGTTGGGGGGGCGGACGAGAGAGAAATTGCTCAATCTCGTACCTCATCAGCATCCAGACTTAGGCATCACTGGCTCGGCCAGCATTTGTTGCCCCCCCATCCCTAATTTCCCATCAGGTGGTGATAGTGAGACTGCCTCTTAAACCACTGCAGTCCATGTGATGTAGTTACATTCAGCGCTATTAGTAATTTTGATCCAGTAATAAGAGATACTTAGTGATGGTAGTACAGAGGGTGTCCAGGTACATGAATCACACATAGTTAGTATGCTGCCACAACATGTGATTAGAAAAGCAGATGGCATGGAATATCAAAATAGGAAAATTTTCTACAGTTACAAGGACCTTAGTGAGACCGTATCTGGACTACTGTGTACAGGTTTCGGTCTCCTTATTTGAGAAATGATATAATTGCATTCAAAGCAGTTCAGAGAATGTTCACTTTATTCATTTTCGGGATGAGGAAATTATCACATGAAGAGAGATTGAACAGCTGAGTTTTATACCCATTGGGTCATCCTGTGGGAGGAAAGAAGATTCCAAACGGCCTGAAGGATATTAAGATGATTTTGTTTTCTTTCAAAGTTGCCAGTGTGTGAAATTAACTAGCCCAGAAAACAGTGGACACAGGGTTATTGAATTTATTTGAAGTGAACTGGATAGATTTTTGACACACAAGGAAGCCGAAGGCTATGAGGGAGCAGACAAAAAAGTGGAGTTGAGACCATGTTCAGGTCACCCTTGATCTTATCAAATGGAAAAGTAGGCTCAAAGGCCCAAATGGCATGTGCCAGATTTAAGTGACATGTCTCAAAGTTCCATGTCATGATATTATGTGGCTTGGAGGGGAACTTACAGATGGTGGGATTCCCATGCCTTTGCCATCCTTGTCCTTCTAGGAGGTAGACTGTGGGGGTTTGGAAGTTGCTGCAGAGTGGAAATTGCTGTATATAGAGTTGCTGCATCTTATAAATAGTACATGCTGCTGTGCATCCATAAGGTCCATAACTAGACAATCTGTTTTGGGATGCTGGTTGAGAGATCAATATTGACTAGAAGACTGGGGATTAATTCCCTGCTCTTAATCAATCTTTTTTACATCAATTCAAGGAGATAGTCAAGGCTCTACTTAACACCTCAACTAAAAGGCTAGATCTCTGACAATGCAGTGCCACCTCAGTACTGTACTGGAGTTTCAACTATGATTTTGTGCTCAAGTCTCTACAGTGGGACTTGAACTAAGTGAGAGAGAGTGTGTGCACTGCCAACAGACCCACAGCTAACACTGAGGATGGAAGAGACCTGGCTGGCAGAGTGTTGGAGTGATTTTGTGGAAACAAGAAGCACAGGAGAAACATTTCTAGAGAAGGGCTAGGTGAGCTGACATCATGTGTTGGAACACATTCATAGCCTATGCAAACTTTACCCAATGTTTACAGCAACTGAAAATGGATCGTGATCCTGGTCCTGCTATTTTGGAGAAATAATAGCCTATTTGCCTAACTGCTGTCATAGCTAACAGGCAAGTGATTCAATCTTCCCCAAATTTGTTTAGTAAGGCTGAAAGAAAGACATTTGTTGAATCTTTTCATCTTACACTATTCAGGACAATTAGCAAGAAAGGCAAAATGTAGAGGGAAATCAATATTTTTACTGTACAAAAGAGTTCTGATTAGTTGGCAAGCTGTCTTTGAAATTTAAAAAAAGACCCACAATCTGTATTGTACTTTTTAAAATTCAATAATAGAAGGTGGATGTCACTGGCTGGACTAGCATTTGTTGCCCATCCCAAGTTGTCCTTGCGACGTTGGTGGGAAGCTGCCTTTTTAAACTGCTTAGTCCATTGTGTACATTCACGCTGAATGCCATTATAGAGGGAGCTCCAGGATTTTCACCCAACAACACTGAAGGTACAGTGATATATTTCCAAGTTTGGATGGTGAATGGCGTGGAGGGGAACTTGCAGGTGTTGGTACTCCCATATATCTGCTGCCTTTGACCTTCTAGATGGAAGTGAACATGGGTTTGGAACATCCTGTCTAAGGATCTTTGGAAAATTTCTGCAGTGCATCCTGTAGATAGTTTTCCCCACTGGTTCTCGCTGACTGCAGTTTTGCTAGGGCTGCCTGATGTCACACTCGGTGAAATGTAGCCTTGTTGACAAGGAAAATTACTCTCCCCTCACCTCTGGATTTCAGCACGTTTGGATCAAGGCAGTAATGAGATCAGAAGCCAAGTGGCCCTAGTGGAACCAAAACTGCACCAGTGAGCTGATTATTACTAAGCAAGTCCTGACTGATAGGACTGTTAATGCCACCTTCCATCACTTTACTGATGATCAAGAGTGGACCAATAGGACACTAATTGGCCACACTGGGTTTGGCTTACTTTGTGTGTACAGGACATACCTGGGCAATTTTCCATATTGTCAGGTGGATGCCAATGTTGTAGCTGTATCGGAACTTTTTGGCTAGGAAGCGTGGCAAGCTGGAGAGTACAAATCTTCAGTACTATTATGTTCAGTACTAACTGCAAGCTATATATCTAAATACACAGGGTCTTGTTCTTTGTTGGCAAAGAACATGTATACACACTGTACCAGCTTCAAGTCAACAAAATGTCTTGACAAATCAGAATCAACCACCCTCTCCCCTTGTTTAAAATTTAAACAAGCTTGGCAGTTAACTGGTGCTCTCTCTCCCTGGCAATGCCTTTACCAATCAGAATGTGTCTTTTTATTTCAGCAGTGCTCAAGTTTTGTACTATCAAATAACTGTACTCAAAGATGCTTTTTTCCTTTTGTAGTTCAATTGTGCAAGTTCTCCTTGGCTCCTTTTTGTTGCACACTTCTCCCTTTTGTTTTCTTGCTTCTCTCTGGAGTTGGCTTTTGCCATTTTTCATATAGTCCTTCAGGTATGGATAAAATTTTCAGTTGTTCCGGAGGTGGGATAAGGGACGGCATGGTGGCTCAGTGGTTAGCACTGCTGACTCTCAGCGCGTCAGGGACCCGAATTCAATTCCGGCCTCAATTGACTGTCCGTATGGAATTTGCACATTCTCTGTGTCTGCGTGGGTTTCCTCCCGGTACTCTGGTTTCTTCCCACTGTCCAAAAATGTGCAGGTTAGGGGGATTGGCCATGCTAAATTGCCCATAGTATCCAGGGATGTGTAGGTTTAGTGGATTAGCCATGGGAAATGCAGGAATAGAGGGGGGGGGAAAAAGAGTCTGGGTGGGATGTTCTTTGGACTTGTTGGGCCGAATGGCTTGTTTCCAAACTCTAGGGATTCTACGATTCTATGAAGGGTTTGCACAAGTTTCAGGTATTTCACGGTCATCTCCAAGACAGATGCTGTATTATTCCTTCGTACTTCAAATTTCAGCAGCAGATCATGGAGCTGATCACAGCTGCTTTTAATCCATTCCCTCCTGATCTGTTCTTTGATCACATTGATCTCGTCGACTTGATCTTCAGTTTTGGCCACAGCTTCTTGGTATTCCCTTAACATCCGTTTCTGAAAGTGATCAAGTTTATCCTCAAGTCTGCAGCCTCTTCTTCTCCTCCCAGATTCACTGGCAGACCAAGAGTGACAGCTACAGACAGAATCTTGGCATTGTCTGTAGATCCTCCTCAGAATCCTCCACACCCACTACATGGGCTGAAAAGATCCCTTTGGTGGTCCTGAGGGTGGACTGCTTCATACACAAACTTGCTAGAGGATGATCCTTTCTAGTTGTTCATACTTCAAAAATAGGTCAGGATGAAAATCCATGAAAGATGAAAACCCATTAAAAGCAGAATGCATTTCAACAGGCTTACATTACACCCATAACCCAAGAAGGCAGGTAGCAAAATTTTGTTTGCATGGATCACAAATCATTATATACTTAAACCATGAATGTGGGTGGGGCAAAGTCAAAAGACACTTCTGTTTAATTCAACAGGCAACTTTATTCATTTCTCTTCGCTTTTCTTTTGGAGACCATGAAACTCATTTGACACTGTTTACATGTGGTGCTGACTGAAATTCTTCCAGGTAAGTCACAGCTCCAGCGTATACAAGAACACCAGAGCTGAATTCAGCAAAAAGGATTAGCAGAAATCGACATTGAGGTGCTTGCATCTGACTTAAGAAAGCAAGGTTACTTGGATGATAAAGTTGACTTATGCTACTCAATTTCAAATTAAGTAACAGCAAATCAATTTCCTGTCATTTTACACACACAGTCTGGGGCCTGGAGTGCTTCTTCTGAAACTTGGCACATCAAACTAAGAAACATATTGCTGTCACATATTCTATCTATAGTTCAGTCTACTACAAGACTGAGGGACAAATTCATACCAACTCTCTCAAATGAAATGCTAAGGGAAAGAAATGATTTTCGTATAGCACTCATTATTTAAACAATTTAAAGAACAATTTCTAGTGGATTTGTGCATCTGCATTTGAGACAGTCAAACTGCAGCTATTTTCAGTTCACCTCCATGTGCAAACATTAATTTCCCTTGAAAGGGTGCAGTGAATAAAATAGAAACAACACTTAAAAAGCATTCCAGCTAATAGAATGTTGGCCCTTATTCCAATGGGGTTGGAGTGTAAGAGTAGGAAAGTCTTTTTGTAACTGTACAAGTTGCTGTTGAGACCACATCTGGAGTACTGTGAGCAGTTTTGGTTCTATCATGTAAGGAAATATATATCATTTGATTGGAGGCAGCTCAGAGAAGGTTCAGTAGGATGATTCCTGGAATGGAAGAATTGTTTAATGAGCAAAGGCTAAACAGGTTGGGACTGTACTCACTATGTTTCATGCTCCAATCAAAGCTAAACTTTAGGGATGAATGATGAGTTAAATATGTCATGGGATTAGTAATTCAGAGGACTGGACTAGATGAATGAGCTCAAAATGCAAAAATTTAAATTCAATTCAATAAGCAAATCTGGAATGACAATAAATTAACAGAAATCATAACCATGAAACTTTTTTTTTTATTATAAAACTTATATGGTTATTCAGCTTGCTTTAGGAAATTAAATCCTACATGTTACTTTTAACTGAAACTCTGTCTGGCAAGCCATTCATTCAGCTGTATCTCAAGGGTACCTCCAGAAGGTTAACACCAGTGACAAATAAAACATGGTAGGTTTCTGTGGTTACTTCTCCCATTTTTCATGGCAGATTGCGACAAAGCTAATCAAGCTAATGATATAAGCACTGTCCCCGAATTTCTTCCTCAAACTAATTACTTTTCCGAATCCATTGAATTGGAGAACGCACCATCAGCAATCCAGATAGAACCATTACCAACAACATTATTCAGTTAAATTTACGGAGATATAAACTCCTTTAACATCTTGGTAAAAACTGTTTCTATACCTAAACTTAAACGTAATTTTTTTTTGTTAGTTGCCCCACATTTTTTCAGGTGGAAGGCACTCCTTTATCTGGATAAATTTATTGCAGTGATCAGTAGGTTTAAAACACAGTTTTTAAAGTACAAAAGATGATAATAAAAAGATTCATGTTCACAATAGATTAAGGCACAACTCAGCAACAGCCTGCCTCAGCAAGCAGAATTCCCAAGGATTTGCACCTACCTTTCATGGCTAATATTTCTGCAAGAACAATCTTTAGGCTATGAGAAGTGACATCTTTTGTATTTAAGAGAAGAATCACCAGCACCCTGGAGCACATGCGTAGGAATTGGTCCTCATCCTCAAAGCTCTTCAAGCACGGATGGAGGGGAAAGGGTTTCGGCTGCTGGTCCTCTTGTCTAAAAGGAATAAATAGCCAGGCAGAATTAAACCAGCACAGCTTCAGTTTTCCCCCACAGTACAAACTCTGGCAGCCAGACAGCTACCTCATTGGTCATATTTCTTTTCTACAGGTGAGTTTTGTCTCCCCCCCACCCCCAGGGGTCAATAAAATGCTTGAATGTATGAGAAAATCATGCGCTCTGTAAAAGGAGATTAATACAGGGAATGAAACAATTATTCAGTTTTATTTTCCCTAACATGCCTATCAAGCATTCCCAGGTCAGGTACAATATGCAACAAGCAGGGAAGGAATGTAGAAACTATGGGAACGGAAAGAGGTCATTCAGCCTCTCAAATCTGCTCTACTATTTATCACAACTGACCTACACCTCAATTCCATTGTCTCATGAAGCAATACTCCAAATTGTCCCAAAAATATCACATTTCAAATATAAGAACATTGGTTATTTCACCAACATGAATTTTCCCATTTCAAGGCAGGCTTTCTGCATGAAATCTCCAAGTGCCAATATGTTAGATAGGTCTGCACTACAAATTCACTTACGGTTAGGAGTCTCAATGCAATGGACTACCTTGAATATATTATATTTCAAGGAAATGCACTAACTTGCATTTATTATTATTGCTTTTAACAGAACTAAACTTGGAATATTTCTTCGGTTTTAGAACGAAGATGAAACAGCATAAAGGCATTTGCAGACCAAGGCTTGGAAACACACTGTCCCTTATTTTCACTGAAAGTCTCACCTCTGCATTTTCTGAAACTGGTAGAATAAAGATTTATATTCTGCATGAAAGTATACACCGGAATCATCAGCTATCCCACACACTCACAGCTCACCATCAATATCACTATTAGCCAAGGGCTGAAGAGCACCAATATTATTTACAGAGAAACTGAGCATTTGAATACCAAAAATAATCAATCACACCACCAGGAATCTTAATTGAGCTGGATGCAAGAGCAGTATTTCTCTGACCTTGATCAAATAAATAATTGGAAATCAACAAGAGGCCAAATAAACATCCAGCCCCCAGATTCTGATTTCTCACAGCAGCTATTCTAGAGATGAATATTGGATTTTTTATAATCCTATACAGAATTTAAAGAAACCTCTTTACCCAGAGAACTGGTTAAACAAATATTACAGTTAAGGCAAGGGGATAGATAAGTATTTGAGGAGGAGGAAAATTGAGGGTTATGCTGATAGAGTTATAGAAGGACAGGACAGGCCTCAGATGGAGCATAAACACCAGCATGACTTGTGTGGTTGTTCAACATCTAAGTTTGGACTGAGAAACATTACTAATGCAAAATAAGAGCTTGTGGTGTAATGAAGGTAACATGTTAGGATGGATAAAGGATTGATTAGTTAACATGATACGAAGTTAGATACAAATAGGTCATTTTCAAGTTGGCAAGGTGTGACAACTTGAGTGCTAGTTGGATCCGTGCAAAAGGTTACATTATTTACAATTTATCAGCACGACTTGGATCAAAATTTTATTTACTCGTGAGTGTTGTTGACCAGGCCAGCATTTATTGCCCATTTCTGTTTGTTCTTAAGGAGGAGTTGGTGAGCTGCCTACTTGAACCACTGCAGTCCATTTGCTTTATATCTCCATGCAAATATATTTCCAAGTCAGGATGTGATGTGTATCCTGGAGGAAAACACCTTCCAGGTATTCACATGTATCTGCTGCCTTTGTCCCTCTAGATGGAAGTAGTTGTGAGTTTGAAAGGTGCTGATAGGACTGAATGTATGGTTGTTACACTTGCACAAAGATAGGTAGGAAACTTGTTATGGAGAGTACATAAGGAGTCTGCAAAGGTATACAAGCAGGTTAAGTGGACAACATGTTAGAAGAAGTATAATGAGTAAGAAAAAAGCACTTTAGCAGGAAGAATAGAAGTGCAGTATATTATTTAAATAACGAAAGATGCAGAGATCAGACGTACACAGGAATCGGAGTATCCTGATACATGAATCAAAAAAATAGCATGGAAGTACAATAGTGATTAACAAGGCAAATGAGCGATATCATTTATTGAAAGGGAATTGGACTCTAAGTGATGTTTTACTAAAGCGATACAGGACTTTAGTAAGACGACATGTGAATTTATCTCTGCAATTTTAACCTCTCTTTCTTTAAGGAAGGATGGAAATGTATTAAAAATAGTTCAGAAAAGGTTGATACCTGGTATGGAAAAGGTAGATAGTGTGGGCCTGCACGCATTGAAGTTCAGAAGGCGGCAGTTGAGGCCAAAACATCATAGGATTTCAATAAGAAGTTGGATGCGGCACTTAGGGCTAAAGGGATCGAAGGATATGGGGGGGGGAAAAAAAAAAAACAGGCCAAGGCTATTGAGTTGGATTATCAATCGTGATTATAATGAGTGGGGAAGCAGGCTCAAAAGGGCTGAATGGCCTATACCTGCTCCTACTTCTTATGTTTCTAAATTGAAACATAAATGATCCTCAGTGGACTTGACAGGGTGGATTTTCAAAAGATGTTTCCACTTTTGGGAGGGACAGAGCAAGGGTAGATGGTTTAAAATCAAAGAGTTGTCTATTTAAGACACCAATGAGAGTTGAAAGTCTATGGAATTTTCTTCCCCAGAGTATACAGTGAACATTATTGAACACTTAAGGCAAAGGCAAATAGATTCTTAACTAATTAAGTCAAAGTTATCAGGGTAGCTAGCATTTGGAGTTGCAGCCACTTTCAGATCAGCTATGATGCTACCATATGGCAGGGTGAGCTCGAGGGACCAAATGATCTATACCTGCTTCTCATTGATACATTCATATGCATAAAAGGGACAAAAACACGTAGACAAGCAATATAAGTTTGGAAAACTAGATTTTACATACCAGGTAGAAGTTTAAGAGCCCTTTACACAATATTATACACTTATTTTTAATATTATTAATATTATTTAATATTATTATTAAATATTTGAATGAAGTTATTTTTGAATGCTTATTTGAAGGCTTTTCATATCATCTTCACAAAATTTCATGAGAGGGACAACACCATCCATGGATAATTGCAACAAATTTCATTAATAATGTGTCGAATACAAATTATCCAGATGAGAGTGCCTTCAACCTTCAAATACTGTACACAGCATCTTCAAACTCCTGTTTGAAGAAGGAATCAAACAGTGCTTTTGGTAACCTCGAGATTTCTCAAAGTGCTTTATAACCCAGAAATGTCTTTTTTTAAAAAAAAACATTTAATTCACGGCCAAAGTCTTACAAACGTCAATTAAATAATGAGCAAATAATTTGTTTTAATGATATTGATTGTAGGATAAACATTGGCCAGGACACCAAGTGAACTCCCCAGCTCTTCTGTGTTATGACATGGTATCTTTTACGTCTACAAATTGCAGGTAGGGTTTCATTTAACATTCCATGCAAAAAAAATCTCCATATTGCAGCACACAAGTACCAGCCCAGATGGTAAACTCTAGCTTTGGGCATGGAAACAGAAACCTATTAGTATAGGAGGATCCATTTGGCCCATCTTGCCTGCTCTGACTGAAAGAAAGATGATCTTGCTTGATCCCATTTCCAAATGTTTTGTTAGTAGATTGGAAGTCAGAAACCTCAAGACTCAGAAGTGAATGTGCGATGAATAGATTCAAGGTGAATGCCAAACCGAGCCAAGTGATTTCAAGAGTTACCAACCATCTGTAGGCACTTCAGTTAAAAGGAAGGGAAGAGCAGGAGATTGTGACCAGTAACATCTGCCCCCACCCCTCCCATCTCTGCATCTCTCTCCTCAATTGGAAGCACAAGAAAAAAGAAATTATTTTGATGAGGTTTATGGCACTGCTCCATAGTTTGGCCCACATTTCCCAGTCTAGCCCTTTTTACAAGGTGCTTTGGAACTTTGTAGTAGCAGGTGTTACTGATGCATGGAAAGCATGAGGAAAAGTCAATCTGTAGTTGAACAAGGCACAGATAAGTGTTTCAAAAAGTCACTGAGGTAGGAGAGTGGCAGAAAAGCACAAATATAGGTAATTATGACAAAGAACTGGGTGTGGCATCAGAAGCTCAATTCTGGATAAGCCATCATGCACACATTGTATCCTGAAGCACAGTGACGAAGAGATAGCAAGAAGGGAAAAGTCAATATAAAATTTAACTCCCAAGCAAGTGCCAGTCTCCTTAAACAAGAAAAATAAATCTTGAAGAGTATTTATCATAATTCTGAATACCTACAGTTCTATGAATGCCAAAGCAAAACACGAAGTGCAGATAACTGAAATAAGAACAATGAAATGTTGAAGGTACAGTGCAGATCAGGCTGTATCAGTGGAGTGAGGAATAAAATTAATGTTTTAATTTCTTGATCAGAATTGCAAAACGTTGAGCTCAGGTTAAGGAAATAAGGTTCAGTCTTGCCAAGGAAACTATCCAGCTGCTAAAGTGGTAGACACAATGACATGTACTGCAGACAAAAGTCAGCTACTGCACTGGAAAGTTAGCCCAGTTAGAATTTACTCCAGTCCTTTGTCTCTTTCATCCAGTAGTATTCAAGATTATGTATTATAATGTCATAGTCTGTCTACTACCATTGTTATAGAGTCATGGAATTGTACAGCATGGAAACAGACCTTTTGGTTCAACTTGTCCCTGTCGGCTCCTATCCCTCTAAACCCTTCCTATTCATATACCCATCCAGATGCCTTATAAAAATGTTGTAACTATACCAGCTTCCACCACTTCCCCTGCATCTTATTCTATACATGCACCAACCTCTGTGCACCACCCTGAGTTGCCCCTCAGATCCCTTTTATATCTTTTCCCTCTTACCTTAAACAGCAGTAAAGTCTTACTTTGCACTATTTGAACAGAGTGCCTTCCAAAGAAATTTAAACTTAAGAACTAATCAGAATGCTTGGCAGCAACTCATCCCATCCCATACTAAGTAAATATCTCAGCCATGCTGTGGAAAGACACCATGCTGCAAAAGATATTGC